CCTAAGCACCCACGCGCAAATACAAACACACACATGCGCGCGCGCCCGCGCGCGCACGCACACACCGCTGTATACCGTGGTACTCATAGCGGTAAGCAAAAACAAAAAGGAATTCTTGACGGCTAACCCGCAAATAAGCTCAAGTTCAATGACTCCCATTTTCTCTTGTTGCTTCGCACTTTCGGAGTAAAGGCAATATTTACGCCCCCCCCCCCCCCCCCCCCCCCCTTCTCCCCCTCCTCCTACTCTTCATTTGCTTGAAACTGACGGAAAACAGCTCTGAGTGAGGTGTTGGTCATTGACCTGTTGGGGGTCGCGTAAACAGGATGTAGGGGAATCCGAGGACGCCAACATCTGTGAACGTAACCGCATCCCACTCATTTAATGCGAACAACATCATCAAGGAGCACTTCACCACGATCGAGAAGACCGCCAGCGGGCGCTGGTGCTGGCTGGCCGACAACGAGGCCGCCCATGTTATAGACGCTTTGCAGCAGCTGTGCATGGACGCCGCCATAACTGACCTTCAGTTTTTGCTTCCTCTTATTTCGTCTATTTCACTTCATCTTTAGTATAGCAGGCCAGGTTAATGCCACATTAGATTCAACTGTGTCCTTTTCAAAAGCATCGGCCTTTGTAGAGGATCGCCAAGTACCGTTTCGGTTGCTCGGCATCTCGGTAAGACAAGAGAAGGTCAGCTATGGCGGCTGTAATTTGGCGCGTGTGTAAAGCGTCTATTGACGGCCGTGCCTGCCCCAAACGCCTGCACCCAGCAATAACTTTACCACCAGAACTGGCTAACGTCAGACTTAGCGACGGCGAAATATAACCACCACATTAAACTCTATATCCTCACAAGCAAAAAGAAGACTCAAACGGTTCCTTTACGTCCACATAGAAACCATCGAATTCCAGCGCGACGACAGACCATTCTGAAGACGATGGGCGGCCATCGCCCAACCAGAGGGTCTCACCGACCGCACCCCACCGGCGAGTCGTGGCCAAGGAAGCACGTCTGCCCTGGCCATCCCAGCATTACTTGCAGAGGCCACGGCTCCCAACGAAACCCTATTGTCGACGCAGGCTGTGCAGTGAATGGACACACGGCATCACTATGCCCCCTGGCAACAACTCCACAATCATGGCGTCTGCTCTGGGAGGTGACCAACGAAAGCCACCTGAAAAAGTAAAAAGTAAAGTAACTCCGGCCCCCCCAGAGGGGGAATGGTGTGGCGATTTATCGAAAGGAAGAGAATAAAGATGGCTTGTGAGGGGGTGTAACTAGCGCGCGCTCAGGACGACCACGGGTTAGAACGGGTGTGGACACGAGCGAAACGGTCGCTAGTTCTTGAGTCTCCACAGGCTTAAGTAAAGTTGCAGTAAACACACTTCCGCACTGTTTTCAGTTATCAAAGCACGCCAAAAGATGAGTCTGCTATGATATATATAAGGTAAAAAAAAAGTGATAGTTTTGATTAAAAAATGTTCGATATAAATAAAAAAAATCATTAAAAAAAGATTTCATTTTAATATTAAAAAATTATGATTTTTTAATATTAAAAAAATCATACTTCACTGGCATATTGGTCAGCGTCTGGCCAATCTGCTAGTGAAGGAGACGAAGACGAAGGGCCCTATGGACGAAATGGCGTTCTTTCTAATTTTACTCGTGAAAAACTCCTACAACTCCAGTGCCTCCAGTATACGATCAGTACCGAAACAACTATATAAAATGCCACCTCTGGCGTCAGCTAAGAAATGCAAAATAATTGAGGGGTGTTTATGTTTATGCAGCTTAGACCTTAGTCAGCCATCCTCGCGCAGTTTGTCTCCTAGCTGTAGATGAGAAATTGAGCCAGTGCAGTGCAAGCCGCTTGCCTGGGGTATCCAGTAGTGATACACGACCACACGCCTGTACGATGCTCATCCAGATCGAAACGGGCAGGGGTGGAGATTGAACCTGGGATGGCTAAGAAATGCCGTGGCGCTTCTGCCGGTATAGGCCTTACATGGCAGGCATTGAACGATGACTGATTCCCGCCCTCCAGTTCGAAGGGCGCAACAAGCCACTGCTTCCTGGTATGCACATAAATGTACCGAGAAGATGACGATCCTTATGCCGTGAGTAACCTAAAGGCAATTTGCTGACTCGTTGTTTTGCGTCGACGAGTGTTCACGCTTCCTTTCAAATGATGGAATCCATTGACTCATGTGCGAAACAATGCTGCCGATGGCTAACAACGTCACGTCACGGCCGCTGGCGTTGCATCTGGCCCTGACGACGCTCCGCATATATTCGGCATTTGTTTGCTCGGGTGGATCATGTTTTACCGAAATGCGAAGTAGACGCCGAGTGCAGCCGCGAATGTTAGTAATTGTCAGCCACGTCTTTCACCGGAGTCACGCTCCATCAAGGCGTCAAAGTTGGGAAGAGCATACACACTCATAAACGTTGTCTCGGTGGAATATATAACCATAAAGACCAGCCGGACACGCGCTTAGCAGCTGGTTTGGTGAAATAACTAACCCATGACAGTTAGGAAACGCGGCAATAATTCAGGAATTTCTCTTTAATTCGCAGCTATTCCGGAAAGCAGAGTTGGCATTTATTGTGGCTGATACGACAGCATCCTGCATTGACACGCCTTCAGCAAACGCACCGTGTGGAGGAAAGGGTCCGAGTGTGGAATACCATCAGGCTCGCCTGGGAAGTCCTTGAAATAAAAAAAAAGGAGACAAATACTCAGTCTCGTAATGGAAATCGCGCACAGACACGTTAAAAAAAAAATTAGTGAAAGCTTTGCGACCCAAATTTTTTATAATGTGGTCGGTAATTTTGGAAGAATATAGTGACAGACCACACCTGAAAACTAAACGAAAGGCATTTTATTGGGTGTGACAAATAACATGTGTAGAACTAATTGAAAATCCCCTAGGCCGACCAAGAGTATATGTGAAAAAACGGTTAAAGTGCAGGCGAGATGGTGGATATTTACCATGATGGAACTTAACCCGAGACCGGGGTAGAAACAGAAACTTAAAAGTAGAAGGGACAGAGACAAGTGAAGAAGAGAACGTCTCAAACGCAGTTAAAAGATTTATCTAGTCCCACATCCTTATATACTCACAACCACAAGGTAGCCCAAACGGGCTACGGGCCGTTCGTCGAAAGGCAATTCGTAACAGGGCAACTCGTAGCAGGGCAATTCGTCACGTAGGGCAGTTCGTCATAGGACTATTAGTCGCTAGGGCAACTTGTCGAAAACCGGCGTGTGTGTGTGTGTGCGTGCGTGGGAAAAGGGGGGGGGGGTCGAGTCATAGAAGTTTGTGCAGAAGATAAGGCTTCGATGTTTCTTTTTCTTTTTCTCCAAACGTCAAGCAGACGTCTGGAGACTTCTTTAATGCCTATTATCTTTACCACCTTTCTTCCTTATCGTTCGGTCCCTGTCATCTTTACCGCTTAAGTTCAGAACAAACTTTTCAAGGCTTACCGCTTACCGGGGGTTTGGGGACGTGGAACATGTATACATAAATGGTAAAGTTCAGAAGCATTCCAAGAAAAGTTCGACCACCACCTTGTTGTCCGCGTACTTTTGGAGTTTCAGAAAAGTCGGAGGCTTTTCTTCTCTAGTCGTATCCTGTTTGGAGAGTTCACAATCCTTTGCCCGGTTTCTATGACCTAAAAGCAGAAGTTTGGAGACTTCTTTGGTGCCTATTATCTTTACCACCTTTCTTCCTCCTGTTCGGTCCCTGTCATCTTTAGCGCTTTTCCCTGGCGTTTCGTTCTGGTGATGATGCGACTGTCTAGACCCACTGCTGACTTAAGTGCCTTTGTTATTTCAATTTCGCTTATCTTTTTCGGAAAGTTCGGAACTAACTTTTCAGGGCTTACAAGATAAAGTTTTGAAGACCTCTTTGTCAGCCACATCCTTTTAGGTCCAAGCGCATGTTCGTACATCTGCCGAATGCTATAAAATATTTTGTCTAAGCGTGTATCTTCGCAGTCGCCATGGAAGTCATCGGGACTGCAAGAGGTGGAGAGATGCTGGTTTGCGAGGGATTTTTATATACTGCTAACCGAAGGACTGAGCAAACCATCTACTGGGTATGTCGAAGAAGAGAGACCTGCAAAGCAAAGATCACGACTGATGTCTCTAAGCTTCGCGTTGTTAAGGTCACAAATGACCACAATCATGCTCCGGACCCAACTGAGGTTAACTGTCTGAAAATTCGTTCAGAAATGAAGGAGAGCGCAGGTGAGAATACATGAGTATTTTTTAGTGTGTTTTGTCGTGGGGATAAATTGTATTCGAGAGTAATCTTCTACTTCCCTTTTAGTTGGAGGACGGACGCCAGTGCAGCAGATTCTTCTGGACGCGGCTGCCAAGATCACGGACAGCACTGCATCACAGCTGCCATCTACGTCAACGCTTCGACGTACAGTTTGAAGAAAGAGGCAACGTGCAACCTTTGTTTATGATATTCCTCCCAGCAGAGAAGATATCCATCTCCCACCTGAATTCAAGGTAAGTTTACTAAAAATACTAAAGAAAATGGTTCATAATCATGGAGTTTTATTATGCAGGTGAATTTCAAGCAGGAAGCGTTCCTACTACACGACAGTGGCGAGGGTGACGTCAACCGCATCATCTTGTTTGCTACGAAGCGGAACTTGGAGTGCTTAGGGAGTGCAGCTGCCTGGTTTTGTGATGGGACGTTTAAGGTAGTGCCCTCACTATTCTACCAGTTGTACACACTTCATGCCCTGAAGAACGGGATCGTCGTGCCCATGGTGTACGGTCTACTGCCCAACAAAACCGAGAAAACATATAGGAGGTACACCACTAATAATTGTAACCTTGTTAGCTATTGTAACGTGAAGTGATTGGTTGTGCAAAATCGTGTTCATTGCGTGTTACCTTACCAGGTTCTTCTCTGTTGTCATCGACAACGTCGAGCCCTGCGCTGTTCGTGTGCTGTACACGGACTTCGAGATTGCTGCTATTAACGCTGCTCGTGACGTCATTTCGGACATCCGGATTCAAGGGTGTTTTTTTCACCTGGCCCAGTCGGTTCATCGTAAGCTGTGCGCGCTGGGGTTTCAAGCACGTTACGGCACGGACGAGGCATTTGCAGTCAAGGTTTGTTATTGTGCATAGATAAATAATGTTCGGTGTCTCTTATGATAGAGCCTCGCTCTTAGGTGGTGTACCCTATGTAATAACTGTTTTAATTCCAGATGAAAATGCTCCCAGCCTTGGCGTTTCTTCCTGTTGAGGCTATCCCAGAGGCGTTTCAAGACTTGTTGGAAGTATTCCCACAGGAGGCGATCGGACTGGCTGACTACTTTGAGGACGTTTACGTCGGTCGACCACGTCGAAACGGCGTCAGCTCGGCTCAATTTCCTCCGAAACTCTGGTCAGTGTACGAGGCGGCACTTGATGGAATGCCGCGGACAAACAACAGTGTGGAGGCGTGGCACTATGGGCTACAGGTAATTGCTCATAATTTTATTTCTACTTAATTTGTCTCGCATACGCAATTTACAGTTTTTATATCGTATTTCTTATGCTAATATTCTCGTTTTTCAGAGCAACGTGAGATGCACTTCACCGAACATCTGGGCGTTTCTCGACTCTTTGAAAAAGGAGCAGGCCCTAAGCGAAATGAAGCTCAGTCAAGCGGCAAGCGGGGTCACTGCCACAAGGGTGTCGCGGAAGCAGGAGGCATTCAACAAGCGCCTCCAAAGAATTCTCGGACGCTACGATGGAACAGACAGCATGGATATCCTCGAGGCTTGCGCTAGAAGTATAACATTGTAAGCGGAGGGGTATTTGCAGAGTTACAGATGCGAATAAAACTCCTTCGGTGAACTGACATCTGTGTGGTTGTCCTCTAAAAATTAGTAGGGCACAGTTATAACTCACTGTGGTGCACCCACAGAAGTAGTTAGTATCCATTTCGAAAGTAGAGTATTTAGGCCAACTTTTAAACATATACTGCAAAGGAAAGTGCCAAACAAGCGAGGAGCTCCGTTCGTGAATATTCATTTCGAAGCACTATACTTGATAAACTGGGAAAATTAAACACATAAGAAGCTTTTTCAATAGGGTGACGAATTGTCATCATGACGAATTGCCCTATGACGAAGTGCCCTATGACGAATTGCCCTATGCGACGAATTGCCCTGCTACGAGTTGCCCTGCTACGAATTGTCTTTCGACGAACGGTCCTACAGCCCACCCAAACACTCAACACGCCCCTTTCAAAAGCACAACACACCAGAAAAAAAAAATTCAAAGACAACTATGCAAAGGGACGCCCCCTCAATCAATACTACGAACAGGGGCAAACCATCCACTTGTCCGGAAAGAAAAACTTTTCATTTTTTCTTTCCTTCTCTTTTGCCTCTGTGTGTCACTGACACTACACCCACGAACCAACAAGACCCAAAACTTGAGTACAAAGACCAACGATGTCCTCGAACACAAAGAGAACTGGGAAGAATATCTCCAAACCGGAACGACCACCACAACAGACATATACAGAAGGACTCACTCTAAAAAGCGCAAAACCACTTCACCCTTAAAAAAAAAAAAGAAACTTGTTTACAGTCCTAAAAATGCTTTAGCATTGTTTCCCAACTGCAATGAAGCCTGACTTATACAATTACCGATTGATTTAATCCGAATGGTTTCCCTTACCAGTCTCTTACTGTCATTCACTTCTTTATGTATTATTTCCGTCTCTGACCACAAAGCAGTGCAATTGTTACATTTATTTATGTGCTTAGCTATTTCAGAATTAGTAGCGTTAATCCTTACATTTCTCTTATGTTCTGTTAGTCTGTCATTAACACACCTCGAAGTTTGCCCTACATAAGCAAAGCGACACGCCATCGGAATCTCATACACTACACTGTTTCTGCACGAGATCGATTTTTCACGGTGACCTTTCCTGCACTCTTGCATTTCAGTTTCAAACGGAGTTAATCTATCTAACCTGAAATCAGAACTAAAAACTGTTTCAACTCCAAACTGCTTAGCACACGCCTTCAGGTAATGTGAAATTCCATGAAAATACGGGATCACAGCCATCCGTCTTTTCGACGTGTCTTCTCTTTCCTTTTTCTCCTTGGTGTGTACATCTAAATTCCTTCTGATGAACTCTTCTTCATACCATGCCCCTCTTAGTCTCTTCCATTGACCTTCCACTGAATTTGTGATAAAATGTATGCATGATCGGTCTAGAGCATTTCTTATCAAAGACTTTACCACTCCCGCTTTCACCGTTTTCGAATGGCAGCTAATTTTTGACAGAACAGGTTTCGGGTTTTCTTTGCCGTACTCCCAGCAGAGACCTTTATCAGTGTGAATCCGCAGATCCAGGAATTGTAATATTCCATTCTCCGGTTTCTCTACGGTGAAGCGTAGTTCAGGGGCTGCTGATCTTATCAAATGCTCGAGACCGTTCAACAGGTCATCCCGGAAGGTGCACACAAAAATATCATCCACATAACGCCTCACAAAACACATGTCCTCTCCAAAACCTTGAATTCGATCAAACAAAACAGAGTCCAACGAGTTCAGATACACCTCCGATAAAGCCGGTGCAACCGAGGACCCAATGCACACGCCTTCCTTCTGTACAAACTTTATTCCTTCATACTCCACAACCGTAGACTGAAGATAATAATCAAGAATGACAAGAAAACTGTCTAGCGAAATGCCTGTTTGGGATTGAAACTGAACGAGATTCGATTCTAGCGCATCCTTCACCCTTGTCATCAATCTATTTTTCTCCAGAGAATAATAGAGGTCCTTAATGTCCATCGATATGAACATTCTCTCCCGTGGTTGACCTCCAATATACTGATTAACTCGTTCGAATCCCTGAGGGACAATGACTTCTCTACATGAGTAAACTTTAGACCGTTCTGTAGAAACTTTGAAACTGATTTCTGCCACGTGCCACATTCGTTAATCACCGCCCGAAGAGGCATTTCCGGTTTATGATCCTTTAAGAAAAATTTTACACTTACCGTTGACCGCATTGGACCTAACAGACTCTTTGCCACACCTTCCAAATCGTCCTCCTTAAGAACCGAACCGATCTTTGCCCTCAGCTTAGCAAGGTTTCCATTCCATTCATAGAAAAGTGAATTCATCGTTTCGTCCGTTTTCATTCGAAAGACAGACCCGGGAAGGATGGCGAATTTCCCAGATTTGTCCGTTTGCAGTAACTTCACTGACCTCGCTTTTAAGTCTTTTTTGACCCCACTGATTTCACGAAAATTTCTCTTGTCATTTCGATACCCGTTTCCCATCACTTTCTCCATTTTACTAACAGCACCATCTATAAACGCTACTCGCTCATCAGGGTTAACCTTCCTGGCAATAGTCTGCATGCACGAAAAAACATCCAGCTTTGATGGCTTTATGTTTAGACAACATTTCGGTCCTCTCCCCAAAATTTCTTCCGATTTTGACGAAATAAGTTCACTGTACGGGTTAACAAACGACGTCTGAGGCATACAACCACCATTATTGTAGACCCAAGACTTCCCGCTCTCCTCGCGCCTAGAACCACACTTTACACTGTCCAAAACAATCCTACGTTTCACATACCAAAGACGGTCGAAACAGGCCTTCTTCATTCTGTTCCAGTGCTGGTGTCCGGGTGGTGCTTGAACTCACTTCCAACCAGGAGGGACCACAGTCTTTCACACGCGCTGCGGATTTCCTGGATCCTTTGAGATGCACCATCTCTGTAAGCCTTGATTATCTTCTTCTTGAACCTCCACGGTATCCCCGATGTCGATAGATGCTTGAAGAGTTTTGGATCAATGTAGTTCTTCCGCAAAGAGATGCCAAAAAACGCAACGTCGGCTTCCAATTCCGCAAGACGGCGACCCAGTTTGTCCAGCACGTTGAAAGCTTCATGAATAACGGCAATCGGCGTCGGTGTGAACGTTTGAGTATTCGAAAAGGGGGGGACTAAGCCTGCTTCTGGTACAATTTGTGAAAAAACGGTTAAAGTGCAGGCGAGCTGGTGGATATTTACCATGATGGAACTTAACCCGAGACTGGGGTAGAAACAGAAACTTAAAAGTAGAAGGGACAGAGACAAGTGAAGAAGAGAACGTCTCAAACGCAGCTAAAAGATTTATTTAGTCCCACATCCTTATACACTCACAACCACAAGGTCACCCAAACACTCAACACGCCCCTTTCAAAAACACAACACACCAGAAAAAAAAAAGTCCGAAGACAACTATGCAAAGGGACACCCCCTCAATCAATACTACGAACAGTAGTAGATTGTTCGTAGATTCATGACAAGGGTGAAGGATGCGCTAGAATCGAATCTCGTTCAGTTTCAATCCCAAACAGGCATTTCGCTAGACAGTTTTCTTGTCATTCTTGATTATTATCTTCAGTCTACGGTTGTGGAGTATGAAGGAAAAAAGTTTGTACAGAAGGAAGGCGTGTGCATTGGGTCCTCGGTTGCACCGGCTTTATCGGAGGTGTATCTGAACTCGTTGGACTCTGTTTTGTTTGATCGAATTCAAGGTTTTGGAGAGGACATGTGTTTTGTGAGGCGTTATGTGGATGATATTTTTGTGTGCACCTTCCGGGATGACCTGTTGAACGGTCTCGAGCATTTGATAAGATCAGCAGCCCCTGAACTACGCTTCACCGTAGAGAAACCGGAGAATGGAATATTACAATTCCTGGATCTGCGGATTCACACTGATAAAGGTCTCTGCTGGGAGTACGGCAAAGAAAACCCGAAACCTGTTCTGTCAAAAATTAGCTGCCATTCGAAAACGGTGAAAGCGGGAGTGGTAAAGTCTTTGATAAGAAATGCTCTAGACCGATCATGCATACATTTTATCACAAATTCAGTGGAAGGTCAATGGAAGAGACTAAGAGGGGCAGGGTATGAAGAAGAGTTCATCAGAAGGAATTTAGATGTACACACCAAGGAGAAAAAGGAAAGAGAAGACACGTCGAAAAGACGGATGGCTGTGATCCCGTATTTTCATGGAATTTCACATTACCTGAAGGCGTGTGCTAAGCAGTTTGGAGTTGAAACAGTTTTTAGTTCTGATTTCAGGTTAGATAGATTAACTCCGTTTGAAACTGAAATGCAAGAGTGCAGGAAAGGTCACCGTGAAAAATCGATCTCGTGCAGAAACAGTGTAGTGTATGAGATTCCGATGGCGTGTCGCTTTGCTTATGTAGGGCAAACTTCGAGGTGTGTTAATGACAGACTAACAGAACATAAGAGAAATGTAAGGATTAACGCTACTAATTCTGAAATAGCTAAGCACATAAATAAATGTAACAATTGCACTGCTTTGTGGTCAGAGACGGAAATAATACATAAAGAAGTGAATGACAGTAAGAGACTGGTAAGAGAAACCATTCGGATTAAATCAATCGGTAATTGTATAAGTCAGGCTTCATTGCAGTTGGGAAACAATGCTAAAGCATTTTTAGGACTGTAAACAAGTTTCTTTTTTTTTTTTAAGGGTGAAGTGGTTTTGCGCTTTTTAGAGTGAGTCCTTCTGTATATGTCTGTTGTGGTGGTCGTTCCGGTTTGGAGATGTTCTTCCCAGT